GTCCACTTTATCGCGTCTCGTTATAACGGATCTCACTGTAGATCGTTGTCTCGATGGATATTATCGCAGTTTAAGTTTGTTTTTGCCGTAACGGAAAATTAGGAATACGTAATGAAATAATACGAAGTAATCGTAAAGTTTATTATTACAAAAATTACCGAAAATGTTGCAGCGAGATCAGTTATAACGAGACACGATAAAGTGCGCGCGTACCGAGCGCAAATTCAAAGTCGATTTTCTCGAAAACAAAGCGTTAAACGAAAAATTTGTATTTTATATTTTCGATTTCTTTTTTCGCGTAGAATCATCCCCTTTCCGCTTGTACCACCAGTTACCAACCACCCTGTATATTGAGTGTCACAGTTAAAGAAGGTACTCGCGATATTTAGAAACTTTGAAACCTTCGTTCTACGATTGTCTCCTCGTTTCTCTGTGAAATTTCTTGCTTAAAAAATATCTCTACCTCGTAAAGATATAAATTTACATAAAGAGCCAGAGCGTAATAATCGATATTATCCTATAGTTGTTGCTATTCCTTTGTCTTATCTATCTCATCGTCGTTATCGTCTCTTCTCCCTTAAATTCGCGACTCTTCCAAGAAATTCCTTGCCATCGATCGCAAACTCCGGCATTCTTTTCCCAGTCTTCCCTCCGCGAATCACCATAAATTACGTGACACGAATTGCACTCTGTATAATGTAAAAGGACCGCAGAGTCGAATGATCTCCCAATACGGTAATGAAGTCTCGGCTGGCACAAGATCGTGCAAACTCGGAACTCGTGGCTGTAGCGAAAGGTAAAGTAACGCAAGGTTTGGTCTCAGCTTGAGTCTGTGAATTTCGCTGCCGGGTGAGAAAGTTGGTAAAAAGTTAGCGGAATTAACCGGGGAGAAACCGGTAGCCATTTCTGAAAGTGGATGAATACAGAACGATACTAAGCGAGAAGAGAATGATGAATTTACTCGAACGACTGTTACGCAAGGCTTAATTTTATTAACTCGACGGAAATGGGGTGAAAACAAGGAGATCTCTACAATTTTCACCGACGTCTGCCCTGTTTTAACTATGACGAGTCGTTTCGTTGTACGATGCTTGCTTTGTATAATTTCTCTGCCGTGCCATTCATCCTGGTCGTTCGAACGTGCTGCTTGAAACGACGAACGAATATTTCCATTCTTCTTCAGTTCTATTTAGTTCAGATGTTCTCGATGAAAAGTTATCGTCGGTTTGGAACGTTTTTCGGATAAAAGTAAACCGTACGGTCGTAGAAAAATATTTTTTTTTTTATTTATTAAAATTTCCAATCGATTCTCGCATTGAGAATTTTCAGTAATTTTTTCTGGCCTGGCGCACTGACATGGCTAATTGTTTATGATAAGTTAATGCTCATTATAGATAAGTATAATTTATAAGTAAGTATTACAAATAAGTAAATATTATTTAATTTAGATAACTAATTGAATCTAGCGTTTAGGTCTAGCGGGTAGTGTCTCTTCAGCCTGCGGATCTGGTCCTACGTATCGAGTAGTCCGGTAATTAGGGAGTTTCGATGTTTGTCGACTCTTTTGCTATATCTGTCGCTATATTTTGCTATTTCCTCTTTGACTGTTGGTATCTTGAGATCGCGATGTATTAGTTCGTTGGTGACATAGCAGGGTGCATTTATAATGGATCTTAGCGTTTTCGATTGGATGCGTTGAAGCATTTCAATGTTGGAGTTACTTACTGTTCCCCATAGTTGGATTCCGTAGGTCTACACAGGTTTTATTACGGTCTTATAGAGGGTAATTTTATTCTGTGTGCTTAGTTTGGAACATCGGCCAGGTAGAAAAATATAAACACGAAATCATCATCGCGTATGGCATCTACCACAGTCGTAGAACAAGAAGAGAGTTACTCTTTGTTTAAACTCTGGGAAATTGATTTTCTATCTAGTTGGAAAGGTTCGAAGAAGAAGTTTCATAAAGTAATCGTATTCGATACGGTGGAATATAGTGGATCGAAGCATAGAATTGCTCGCTCATCGAGAAAAGAAAAGCCCTCGTTTTGATGCGTTACTATAGACGTTCGCTATAAATCGCGATAAAAGCGAGGCAATAATCGGTCTCGAGATTTACTGGCGGCGGAAAATTTAATACGCCGCCGCTCCGTTGCAATCTCATTCCGTGAATAGCGAAGGGTACATAATGCTCGACAAGCAAGGAACATCCTAAACGGGACAAGATTGTCGTCGAGTAGCATTGTTGCGTCATTGTGCGTGATAATTCCTCAGGGAGCATAATTCAGCACTCGGTTGCTGCGTCGTGTGAATGCGCTACAGGAACTCGGTAGTTTAGCTTGGTTTCGTGAACTTTGCGTTCTGCAATATGAAACGCGCTATAGTTGATATAATAGCGAATCTTCGTAAAGAGAGAGAAAGAGAGAGAAAGAGAGGGAGAGAATATTGGATAATGGACGATACAGAGGTGACGAAGTTAAGATAGAACTAATTTTTACAGAGTGGTTCAAAGTAAAAATTATAAAACATTTTATGTATTTTGGAGATTAGTAACGAACTTAGGGTATTAGGTATAAAGTAGCGAAATACGAAATATTTCATTTTGAACGATAATATTTTATTTGAATTTTTGTTTCTGTTTCGAAAGAACTGTAAGCCGAACAGTTAGTTTGTGTCGCGCATTGGAAATTAGAAAAGCTGTTGGAAATCTTTAACGCGAATTCAAAGGCTCGACTATGACGAAACATGATTTATTCGTCAACTTGACTGACGTGGATGTAACTTATAGCGGAGAGCCGTTTAAAATTCGTGCTGCGAGAGTTGAACTGCCGACGACACGTACGCATTATCTCGCTCAAAATGTCTCGCATTTATAACGATAGCGAAATATTTTAATCGCGCGTTAAAGCGCGCAAAATTTCTCTAACGTTGCTGCTTCGTGAATAATATTCACGACGAAACTGTCGATATTTCGCGTGAAATAAACGCGAGAACGTAATAGCGAAATCGCCGATAGGTTGAAATAATTCTCTGCAGGCTTTCAAACGCGATAAACATCAAATTTTATCAAAATTCCTTTACCAAAGATAAAAATGTAAACCACTTCGAGTCCCGTCAAATTCGCTTCCCATCATTTAGAAGCTCGATAAAGTTTCCAAAAGACCGAGCTAAATAGAAAATAGAAAATGGAAAGATACAAAAAGGGGATAAAGGTAAAGACAAAATTATTATTCGACGTTTCAGGAAGTCACGGAAGAACGAACGTTATTGCAATTCCACTACACAGAATGGCACTCGCATACGTGTCCATTCGGAAACGCGGTTTTAGAGTTCCGTCGACGCGTGAGAGCGGTAGTCGGTTCCACCATAAAGAACGAGTCTGGACCTATGGTGGTCCATTGCAAGTAAGTATTTCCATCGATATGAATTTCGATGGTTTCGTGTAATTTCCAATTTGATAGCTTACGATGCTTTCCAATCTGATAAATCGTTGAACGAAAGAAACGTTATGTTTTTGAAAAAATGAAGCGATGGTGGTGGAAGATCAGGCGTGTACCTGGCGATAGATGCGAATATGGAATTGGCCGAGGAAGAAGATGCCTTCGACGTCTTTGGCTATTTGAAAAAGTTGCGGCAAAGCAGAAGAGGACTTATCGAGAACTTGGTAAATTCATAATATCGATCGTCTTCTTATTTATGGTTTCGTTCGAGCGACGAGACACAAGATGCTGGTTTAAGGAGATTGAGCTTCGCCTTTTGACGAGTTCTGTTGATTCCACTGTTTATCGCAATATATAGATTATTGGAATCTCTAGAAAAAGTTTCTCGCGTTTACTTCAATAATTATTATTTTGTTATTAGTACCGGTTCTATTTTTCATTATCGTTATATTAGATGTTTTACAATGAATTTTCCATTCAACGGTGATTTCCTTTTATATCCTATGCTCTATTATAAATATTCAAATTATCTTCAACGACAGTATGAATATTTCATAAGAATTGTAGTCTGCCAATTACGAATTATGAATATTTCGTATTATTTATAAACAAAAATAAAAGAGATGGAAAATAGCTAATAACATGTAAACATCGATGTTGCCCAACAATAATTTACAATAATCAGATTTATTATTATGCAGGAACAATATAGATTCGTGTACGACACGCTGGAGGAGTTTGTGGTGTGTGGCATCTCGTGGTTTCCGGTCTCAGAGTTGTCGCAACGTCTTAAGCAGAAGAGCGTAAAAAATCCAATAACTAAAATGAATGAATATCAACGGGAATATCAGCAAATTTGTAAGCAGACGCCGCGCTTTACGATCGGAGATTGCGCTGGAGGCCACAGGGCTGATAACAGGGAAAAGAACAGAGACGTGTTGGTTGTGCCGCGTAAGTTTCCACCGATAAAACATCGTATAAATGTTTTTCCGATGAACGAAAAAAGAAAGGAAATGCTTTTACTACACTGTAAAAATTGCATGTCGCGCATATGCGGATACTGCGTTAGAGACTCTATATTTCATTTCCCTATCAATTTTTATATCTTTTTCAGAAACTATACGGGGGATATTTGTAAACAGATATGAATTTGTTACTCGTATTATACATAGATTCCAGACGTGAACTTTCTTGTGTACCTTAAACTTGCATTTTTCAAAAAAAAAAAAAAAAAAAGGAGCATACACTTGTTTTTCTTTTTGGAAATGAAATAATTGGCGATTTTGGAAGAGTTATATTCTACACGTTGGAATCTTTATCGTGTTATATTTCTTTATGTCAGAAAAATATAAAATTATTTCGAAATATAATGCGTAAACGTCCCTTCTACGTGTGTGTATATGTGTATAAATAATGGGTGTAATATTTAACGCGAGCCGATCGTATCTTTATTCATGAACTAATATTTCTCACTTTAGCTGACAACTTCCGACCATACCTCACCAGCTTCCAGGGTAACAGTTACACTGACTATATAAATGCTGTCTTCGTGGACGTAAGTGTACAATCTATATATCTAAATGTCCATATTTCAATCTTCTCTAATAGTTAATTCTTCTATCGTAATAAAACTTTGTGTATTGTTTTCCTACAATTAGAGATTAAACGGAGGTTTATTCAAATTCCCATATAAAAGGTTGTTCGTTATCCTCTCTGATAAAAATTACATTTCATGCAACGCGCACCAAATTTAAACTCCACGTAGAACCAAATTGCTATATAGGGAAAGATCTTTCCTTTCGTCAATCTTCATCCCACGTCCGCTCTATTATATAAACTACTGTTCATTTCCTGCGAACATCGTCGTTTTTTCTCTTAAATGATCGTTCTCGACAGGGTTACACGAAGCCCAGGGAATACATCGTTACTGAATGGCCTCTTCGACACACGTGCGGTGAGTTTTGGTCCCTGGTTTACGATTACGAGTGTTCAGCCGTGGTGGTACTCTGCGTACCTCCCCCAGGCTCCACCAACTTCCCCAGTTTCTGGCCCGAGGGAAAACACTCGAAGAAATACGGACCCGTTTTTACGATTGATCACATCAGCCACAACCACTACACGAACATCAAGACCTGGGTGAGAAACAGCTTGCTGCTCCTTCTTTTACACGCTTTGAATTCTCTCTACGGAGTTTAAGAAGACATCTAAAAACATTTTCTTGGGCGATCTAGTTTTCTAACTAGTACGGGTTGCCGGATCGAGATTCGAATCCGAATCTTTCGCTTACTAGGCTGGTGCTTTCCCAAATTAAGTTGTCCACGTCATCGAAGAAAGTATCTTCTCTCAAACTCTTGAAGTCTCGAGTGGCTACCGCCTGGAATATGATATATAATTTTTATTCAACCTCTCACCGGCGTTTGAATACGATTTGAACGATAGATTCTAGAAAATAATCATATCGTTCTATAGATTTTTAGGATAAACAAGAAAATCGTGTCACTGACCGAGCTGATGGCAGGCGTGAAAGCACCACCGAAGACGGTTCAGTTGTTCCAACTGACGTGTTGGCCTATGGGTCACAAAGTTCCAACGTCGACAAACAGTCTGGTCGAGTTGATGAATATGGTCGAGAGGTGGAGGCAACGAACCGACTATGGACCGGTCGCTGTGGTCTCCCCAGATGGCAGAAGTCGTTGCGGTGTATATTGCGCCGCAAACGCGTGTATAGAACAAGTGATTCAACATGGGGAAGTGGACATTTTCCAAGCAGTTAAAACTGTACGCAGACATAGACCTCAGCTTGTCGAGAACATGGTGAGTGGTTATAAGCGAAGCAAGTTACTCGGCACATTCGCTTCTTCGACTTTTAACTGTCGCGAGTTCCAAATTTAAAAAACAAATTAACTAAAAATCAATTTAAATCGAACGACAAGTATCTGTGTACGATACAAAATTGTCGATATTTTCTACCTGTCAAACTTGTCTTAAGATTCCGTTTAAAAAGGAGGATTATTTTTCATGTTACGAGCAATTTAATCATCGTTTAAATCGTGCTCGAAACTGTTGCAGACCGAGTACAAATATTGTTACGACCTGGTGCTACATTACGTGCTCCACTACCTGAACAAGGACATGAACGAGAAAAAGTGAGAAAGCGAGTTGAGGGACGAGCTGTGGTTCATTGAGTTCGGTCGCGGGGCGGCGCTGCCGTTGACTCCGGAGGAAGCCCCGGCGGACG